TCCCACACTGACTCTGTGTTCACATCAATGGAGCACAAAAGCATCCAGAGTCCTGAATGAAGCATTAGTGACACTGAAGACTTCAACCTGACGTCACCAACCATCTGGAGGGAAACGTCCTGTTAGTTCATTTCACAAATTTCATACCATTGCATAAATTGGTAAAAAAATGGAAATACGGAATTATAAAAAAAAAAATCCTTTAATTTTTTCAGAAATGTGTTGATGCAGTATTTCAAAAATGCATACGTCTGCATTACATTTGTATGATTTAGTGTATTAATGCCTTGACTAGATGTGCACAAATAAAAAAGTATTATTTAAAGTATTATTTTTTCCTGCATTGCAAATAAAACCTAAAAGGCTTCTGTGTACATCAAATCATTCAGCAGCTCATTACATGTATAAAAGTGCACTGAGAACCACAGCTCCTGGGGTTTTCCACGCTTGGCTCTGAATGGATGCTGACTGAACAACAGAAGTGTGTCTCTCTATCTGTTGCTCATTCATTCACACACCTGTCCGTCACATCCTCAGGGCATTTCGCTTTACTGGTCATTCATTAGAAACTGTTGACCATTTCAACCATGAAACAGTCTTGACTTGCCACAAACTCACCTGAAGAAATGACGTCAGCCGAGTTTTTTGAGTAGTGTTGGATGGATGAATGAATGAATATGGGAACAAATACATTTTCAAATTTTTCAGGTACAGTAAATAAAACTCAAAGCAATTCACAATTCGTTTTATAGACAATGTAAATGAATTGTATGGCTTAGTAGTTTAGAGTTTGTGCTTGCCAAGCTGTAAACAATCAGCGATTTTGAATGAGCCTACTTTCTGACGTAAGAAATAGAAATAGAATGCACTCAAAATATAGGTGACTTTATTCTTTATCGACTCTTAACTATCGGAGACCAAAAGGAAATATGACAAAGTGGTCACAAATAACGTAAAGCAGCAACTTTAACTAGCTATTTTAGCGACACTAAAAATAACCCCCAAATGTACGCATTTTCAAGAAACCTTAAAGTTTTCTAAGCTTGTTAAGTAGATATGACAAGTTTTTTTTTAAAACCGCCTATATTCAAATTGTACAAAATCAGAGGAAGATATAAATGCAATAAAAATCATTTATTTTATAGAAACAAACAAGAGCATATGATTAAAAATCATCACAAAAACAACCAAATGATACACTGTATCTTTAAAAATGAAATAAAGGTCTTTTTTGCATGTCCTCCAAAAGAGAGCATGGTCAAACGTTTTTAAAAAACATTCAGTAAATTTCTCTTCAAGAGCAAAATACAGTAGAATTTTATGAATCTAAATGCACAAAATGCATCCTCAGCTTGGTGGTTACCACAATAATGTACATTACAATCAATGCACAACTTCTTTTATAAGCCCTACGAGCCTTTCCAAAATGTGCAGTGACATTATCAGAGTCCCTTAGAGAAAAAAAAGTCCAGAGAGAACAAGCAAAGTGCTATTTTCCTCTGAGGTAGATGTGCGAACACATACAATCACATCAAGTGCTTGGCTTGTTAACCCTTTTCATTTGCAGGTCAGTCTGTGATGGACGTTCGCTTTAAAACAATGGCGTCACATCCTGATCTGGAGCGGGAGAAAGACGCAGAATTTCGCGAGAACACCTGGAGTAGCCGCTGGGGAAGATCAAGGCCTTTTTTGAGCTAAAGAAGAACACGGTCTTCTCCAAAATGTCAGATGCGGGAATACCATGCTGGAGGTGGTCTTCAAAAGAAGATATGAGTTTCTCCACTTTGCTGAAACATTTTCTCTCCAAGCTGTAGAGTTTGCACCTGCAGTCCAGAAGAGAACATCTTTAGTGTATTTGTAAGTATAAATGAGATCAAATTTATGAAGCATGTAAAATTACACTATTGCAAATACTTAGATGCCTTTCTTACCTGGCATAGTGAACGTTGTCCTGAGGGGTGATGTCCATGTAGGCAGGCATGTTTGATGCTGGTGTTGAGTTTCAGGAGTTTAAAGATCTCTTTGGCTCTTCTTCAGTGGTGAAACCAAATCCCACACAAGACCCTCAATCTAGCCCACTTTTATACTAAAATGTATCCGCAGCCGGCCAATCAGAGAGCAGAGAAAAATGGAACAATAGGCTTGTCATAATTTTCATTGGTCCTTGAACTTTTAATTGAGCTCTTTAGTGGACAGGTGGGATTTTTTTTCTCTAGTGCCATCTGGAGGGTCAGCCATGGGAGAATAACTGAGGGCATGAGGACTCAGGATTTCTCTGTTCTCACACTCGGATTAGCAATGGGGATTTGTGGAAATATTTACTGTATGCATATAATTTAGCTGTAAACTAAATTTATAGTTGGGTGTAAAATGTTTTAACACAAATAAAAGTATTTTAATTTTTAATCCATGTTGACAATGTTTTCAGTGTTAAATAATTTAACTTTTTTATATATAAATAATTTTGATTTTTTTTTAAAGGCATTTCATAGGGAAAATATACATCTCATATACATCACTAAAACACATTAATAAAAATATGTAAATTATGTAGCAATGGGAATTTTTGTGGAAACATTTACAGTATGTCTATGATTCAATCACAAACTAAATTTATAGATGGGTGTAAATATTTTATAATTGTATAATAATAATAACATTTTTAATTTGAAATAGATTTCCTTTTTTAAATTAGCTTCTGAAGGCATTTAAAAATGACAAAAAATATATGATCTAAATTGAAATGATAAATTATAATTAAATAGGTTTCGATTAAAGTTATTTTTGTATTTTTTAAGTACATTCCAATATTTTTACAAACAAATATGTAGCAAGGGATTTATGGAAAATATTTACTGTATCTGTATGCTTATAATTCATTCACAGACATGCAAAAGATTTAATGACTATGTGTACTTTTTTTTTTTTACAAAGTATTTCTTTTTTTAAATAAATATTTAATAATAAATAATAATA